ATGTATGACTTAGTTTTCACCCTCGCACTAATCGGCATTAGACTATTAGATAGTATCACACTAAATCTATGTTGATAATTCTTTTCTTATTAACTACCTCCTTGGTCCGGCAAGTAGCAACAAGACAAGTTTTAACGCGTGCACTCGTTAAAAGGACTTCTAAACGAAAGAATTATCAATGCATGCAATAACACTATTCGAGAATTACTTAGTTACTATTCATACTTTGTTATTCACTCATGGTTCCCACAACCCTAGTTGTGGATTTAGTTACCCATATTAGCAAGAACACAATTCGTATTTTTAGAAGAAGAAATTATGAACTTACGTAATGAGAATGATAAACCCAGAATTTCAACTTGAATTTCCAAACCAAAATCTTCAAAACAAACTTAGGAAATTAAGAATTGCTAAAGTTGCAAGTTAATCTCCAAAGCCAAAAACTAGAATTAAAATAATAAAGTCTAACCCCCAAAAACTAGGTTTACATGCCCTATATATAGAAAAATAAGTCCTAACTAAAAAGGAAACGAAATAAGGAAATAATGTTTCAGGACGCATCTTCGATCTACTACACTGACTTACGGACTGTGGATTGACCTACGGTCCGTAGGTCCCTTCCGTGACTCAGGACTTGGGCAAATTTTCAGCTTCCAAAACATCATCTCTGAAGCAAACGATGGATCAATAGTACGGACCGTGGTTTGATCCACGGTTCGTAGATCCTCCTCTGTAGCTCCACACTTAGAGTCTTCAAAATCATTTGACGAAACAACAATACGGTCTGTAGATCAATCTACGGTCCGTCGATTGCAACTGTGGTTCCACACTTGGTCAAGAATTCCCTGATCTCCTTTAATACCTTGCCTGCTCATCTATGACACCCATCTACGGAGCGTGAATGGACCTACGGTCCGTGGATCACCCTCGTACATGTCCTTTTTTGCACATCCTTCAGCTGTGTCTCTCAATTTCCACGTCTGAACATATTTCCTAAAAGCATGATAAAAATACATAAAAACCAATACAAAATGGCCCTAGACACACACAACTCTCAAGTGAAGCGTATTAAAAATATCGTAAATTCACGGTATATCTACACCCTCAACTTAAATTCGTTGTTTGTCCTCAAGCGACACACTAAGACTCTAAACGACATTTGTACAGAAGCAAGCATTTCAAGCACAAGCAACCACATGGCTCTCTACCCCGACTCTCTTCTCGAGTGCAAATATTTTCTCTCAGACTCAACAAGCTAACTTGTGCGGATCCAAACATGACAAAGACCGACCAACCAACACACAACATACACTGTTTTACTATCACCAAGGTACCAACTTTCCGACAATGTAACTAGTGCCTTTACTTCAAACGAAATCCCTTTTTCACACAATGAATTTGATTTTGAGTACAAGGATTCATTCAACACTCACACTCAGAAGTAACTTCAAGTACATTTAGTGCTCAATACCATAGGCTTGCCCTTATTTTCACTGCTTAGACTCTCCAAACTAGGTTCTAGGATCACTATAGGACTTTCTTGGCTTGTAACGTAGGCTCAGGGTTAGATGTGGTACAGTTGGGGTACTTTTTAGTGACTTTCTGTCCTCCTTGACATTACATTAGGCTTTCTACCTCTTTTTGCCCTATTTTTGACATCCTACCGTTTTACCTTCTTTCCCTTGATTCTCTTCAACCACGGATGTGACTTTAGACTTTGTAGCTCTTTATTTATTTTTAGTTTCATCTTTTTTCTTGCGTTTTATTCTTGGCTTTAGCTTTTAACAAGTCACATCCTTTCCTCTCTTTTCTTTTTCTCTTTTTCAACATCAAACTCTTTTCATACCCATTTTTCTTTCAATTTCCTCTTTCATAGCCACCCTCAACTTATGGATTTTCCATTTGGTTGAGGTGCACATTACCCGATGTCGGATCAGGGCCAAGATTGAGGTTACTTTTTACATTAGCCACCTTAACTTAGGCTTTGGCCTAAGTCGAGGTGCACATGTCCAAGGAGGGACCGGGGCCAACATAGTAGATTATGGGAATGTGAGTTAGGGGTTTAGAAAGAAATGGTCTAATTTAGGCTCAAAGCATTTGGATCAAAGGGAGCATTTATTTCATTTGGTTGGATTTCCTTTTAGGCAATTGTGGACTTATCAGAACAAGGGCCTATGATCACTTCCTAGCCTATAGAGTAGATTGTCTTAGCAGGACTAACCGGGCAAGTTCTAGATTGACACAAAAACTGTTTGAACAATCAGCTATTCTCACACACTCTTGGCACATAGTTTCATTATCAGATTACCCAGTTCAAGTTTTAGCTTAAGTCATGCCATCAAGTTGGTTCATTGTCATGTCATACTCAGAGCCAACACATTCAACTCATTCTAGCCTACAGATTTTTAGCACATATCACAAGTTTTGGATGGGTATCATTTTTCCAAAAACCTTATGCCATCATGCTTCATTCTTTCTCATGCTTCTACACATACAATCCTAACACATGCCGGTTAAATAAAAATTAAGCAGTCTCTTGGGGGAAAAGAACACAGGCAAGAAAATCCTAAGAAATGATCATGAGTTGGGTTACTCAAACTTCACCCTATCACTCACAATCCATTTACCACACGCCCTAACAAAAAATTAGTGCAATTGTCCCCAATGCACACAAAAAATAGTAAAAGTAATAGATTGGGTGAAGCAAACCTGTGGTGCATAGTGCCGACGAATTATCAATAAGTGGGTGGGTCAAATTTCTCGAAGCCCGCTGGATCAACACTTGGGTCACCCTCAGTAGTGCCCGCATCTCTCATCTCAGCACCATCAGTAGTGCTAACATCAACTCTCGTTGCACCATCAGTAGTGCTCACATTGCTAGAGGCACCCACACTTGGAAAAAATTAGGATACATACCTGGGATCTACGGGCACCATTCAAGGTCCGTGGATTGACCCACGGATCGTCGATGGGGTCCGTAGACCTTTGCACAGTCCTTTTACTGCAAATTTGGCTTGGCATCCCTGCACATGTAGCAACCGTTAGGCCTTTCTTTTTACAATTTCTAGACACTTTTTAGACATGAACCCTATGCTATATCTAGCCAACACTAATACAGAAAATAAAACACCTACCTAAAGGATTACAAAAATTCAAATAAACGAAGAAAACTCCTAAATCGAAAAGAAAAACCTATAGTTGGCTAGATTTTACATTTTGGGTTGCCTCCCAAGAAGCGCTTGATTTAACGTCGCGGCACGACGCAGGCTCCTTGGTTACTCAGACTTCATCAAGATGCCATGCCTCTATCACTGCATTTACACTCTCAGAATTTCCCATGTAGCATTTTATCCTCCGTTGATCGGCTTTGAACCTTGTCCCTCTCTTTTTCTCGAGCTCAACAACTCCATGTGGGGACACTTGGGTCACTCTGAATGGTCCAGTCCACTGGGACTTGGATCTGCCCGCAAAATAGCACAACCTTGATTTATAAAACAACACCAGATCACCGAGAGCTAGTTTGCGTTTTTCTGTCTTTTGAGCATGGTGCTTTTTCTCCGTGTGCAAGGCTGCATCTAACTTCTCCTTACTAAACACTTCAGCACCTCTTTCGAAAGTGTGACTCACCACTGATACCGATTTAAGATCACTTTCCTGCTTTATAGACTTACAGACGTTAAAGGTCACCTCCTACTTATTCAGTCGGAACTTCATCTACCCTCTCTCTATATCGACTAAGGCACACCCAGTAGCAAGGAATGGTATCCCTAAGATGATAGGGACCTCAAAGTCAACCTCGCAGTTAAGTATAACAAAGTCTGCTGGAAAAATGAACGACCCCAATTTCATAAGGACATCTTGAAGCACTCCAATGGGCTTTTTCACAGTTCTATCAGCCATAAGTAAATGTATCACAGTTGGTTTTGGAGCTCCTAAACCAACTTCTTATAAATCGACAATGACATCAAGTTAATGCTAGCACCCAAATCACACAAAGCTTTCGCAAAGTGCATCTTACCGATGATGCATGAAATAGTGAAAGCTCCAGGATCCTCTTTCGTTTGTACCAGTGACCTCTTAGAAATGGCACTATAATGCTGCAACCTCTCACCATTCTCAAAACTGACAGCCTTATTTTTGGTCACCAAGTCCTTCATGAACTTTGCATACCCAGGCATTTGCTCCAAAGCTTCTATCAAAGGGACATTAATGGCAAGCTGTTTCAACATAGTTATGAACCTATGGTACTTTCCTTATTCAAATTTCTGCACTAACCTCTGTGGTAAAGGAGGTGGAGGTCTAGGCATGGGAACAACCTTTTGGGCTATCTCTGCTTCCTTCTCTGTGGCATTTTTAGTCTCTTCGGTAACCTCAATCTCATCACCATCTGTTTCTACCACTTTTTCTACATCGGATAGCATGGGGAGGTCAATAGTCTGCTTTCCTCCGCGAGTCATGATTGCCATACAATGCCTATCATTCTTTGGACTCTGGATGGTGTTACTGGGAAGCGTTCCTGATTGGCGTGTATTCACAATAGCAGACAACTGACTAAACTGCTGCTCAAGTTGCTTTATCGACACTGCATGGGCATCAACTTTCTGGCCAATTTTGGATAACTTAGTGCACAAATCTTTCACATTCTGATCAGTAGTGTCAAACTTCTTCAACATCTTTTCGATCATCTCCTCAACGCGCGACATACTATCCCCAGCTTCCCTATTGCCAGATTCCCTATTCCCAGGAGGGACGTAGGGTCCAACTCTCTCATTCCTATTACCATAGTTGTTTCGGTTATAGTTGTTGTCGCGATTGTAGTTTCCATCCCAGACATATTGACCTTCTCGGTTGTAGTTGCCATAGTTCCAACCTTGGTTTCCTTGACCTTGGCGCCAATTATCCGTATTGAAACCTTGGGCGTTTGGTAGAAAACTCCCCGTCTGATCATTCACCACATAAGTATCTTCTTCATAGTAACACTCCTCAACCAGTGTTGGATTCCTAGTCAAATAATTCACAACATTTACCTTCTCCACACCTCCGCTCACATGCTTCAAAACCAACCCTAGTTCAGTCCTCATCTGAGCCATCTCCTCACGAATCTCATCTGCAGACTGGTTGTTTGTAGTTTGAATGGCAAACGTGTTTCTCTCAGTAACCGACTTTCTAGTGCTCCAAGCTTTATTGTTTCGAGAGATGTTCTCCAATTTCTCCGCAATCTACTCAAAAGTGCACTCACCATATGAACCTCCAGCAATAGTATCAAGCACTGCCTTACTCTTTTCATCCTGACCTCAGTAGAAATATTCCTTCAGCAACTCATCATCAATCCGGTGATTCGGAACACCTCTTATGAAAGCAGTGAACCCGTCCCAAGAACTACTCACGGACTCTCCAGGTAGTGCTACAAAATTGTTGAGTTTATCTGTGTGGTTCATCTTTTTGGACACTGGAAATAATCTTGCTAGGAACGCGTCAGTCAATTGTTCCCATGTATAGATTGAGTTATAAGGAAGCTCATTAAACCACACAGCAGCATCGCCGGTCAATGATATAGGGAATACTCGCAATCCAATGACATCCATGTCCAAATCCGGTCGGCCCACACAACTTTTGAAAACACTCCTTAGATTGGTTACGTGCGCATGTGGATCTTCTGATGCCAAACCCGCAAACAAGCCCCTCGCCGTAAGCATCTGCATCAAACTGCTAGTCACCACAAAGGTATGCCCTGGAGGTAGAGGAGGTAGGAGAAGAGGTCTGTCAGATTCAACAACATTAAAGTTGACCCTATAGTTATCATGTAGTCTTGGCTCTGGTTGATCATGTACCCTCACTGCATCTCTCAATAGATTCTCAGCTTGAATTTGATTATTCTCGTCACCAACCCTCGGAGGCTGCAACCCAACACCATCACCTAACTCTCCTCCTATAGGATTAGCGGGCACTCCTTGATTATTCATTCTCTGCAAAGTTCTATTCAGTTCTGGATCGTAGGGAGTAAGTGGTTCTCCTTGACTCCGTGTATTTGGCATACACTACAGTAGGAACCTTAGAGAGACAAAAACAAAAACAAAAAGTAAAAATAGGAAATATTTGACTAAAGTTCAATAACGTAGTTAAACTTAATCTAAAAGCCAAAATTTGATACGCTCAAATTACACCTCCCTAAAGAAGCATAAGCGATCATTATCAAGTAAATAACCTAACTTGTAGGTTGGGGTCAATCCCACGAGGAATATTGTTTAGACTTACTTTAACCAACGATTATATTCGTTTAGGCAATGTATTTCCGAAAACAAGTAATTAAAGAGGGGGGGGGGCATTTGTGAAACAAATTTAGGAAATTATGTAAATAATCAATGAGCAAGATTCAAACTTTAGTTGTTATCAAGATGAGAAAGTAACTAGGGTGTACGTGTTCCCCATAAGCTCATAACGCAGTAATCCTAGTAATAGCAATCATTTCCTAGTGTATTACATACAAAGTGATAAGTTAGGTATCTCTAAATCCTTGGTCCGGCATCTAGAGAATTTCACCCTGCACCTTGGTCCGGCTACGTGTGTATAATTTACTAACATTTACCTTTACCTCATATTAGACATCACATCGATGTAAGGCTTAGTTTTCACGCTCGCACCAATCGAAATTAGACTATTAGATAGTATTACACTAAATCTATGTTGATAATTCTTTTCTTATTAACTACCTCCTTGGTCCGACAAGTAGCAACAAGACAAGTTCTAACGCGTACACTCGTTAAAAGGACTTCTAAACAAAAGAATTATCAATGCATGCAATAACACTATTCGAGAATTACTTAGTTACTATTCATACGTTGTTATTCGCTCATGGTTCCCACAACCCTAGTTGTGGATTTAGTTAACCATATTAGCAAGAACACAATTCATATTTTTAGAAGAAGAAATCATGAACTTACGTAATGAGAATGATAAACCCATAATTTCAACTTGAATTTCCAAACCAAAATCTTCAAAACGAACTTAGGAAATTAGGAATTGCTAAAGTTGCAAGTTAATCTCCAAAGCCAAAAACTAGAATTAAAATAATAAAGTCTAACCTCCAAAAACTAGGTTTACATGCCATATATAAAGAAAAATAAGTCCTAACTAAAAAGGAAACGAAATAAGGAAATAATGTTTCAGGACACGTCTTCAATTTACGAGACTGACCTACGGTCAGTACATCCCTTCCGTGACTCAGGACTTGGGAAACTTTTCACCTTCCAAAACATCATCTCTGAAGCAAACGACGGATCAACAGTATGGACCGTGGTTTGATCCACGGTCCGTAGTTGCACACTTTGAATGTTCAAAATCAGGTACTGAAACCCCTTCTCTAAATCATTTGACGGAGCAACAGTACAGTCTGTAGATCAATCTACGGTCTGTCGATTGCAACCGTGGTTCCACACTTGGTCAAGAATTCTACAGAGGGTGAATGGACCTACGGTCCGTGGATCACTTCCGTAGATGCCCTTTTTTGCACATCCTTCAGCTGTGTCTCTCAATTTCCACGTCTAAACATATTTCCTGAAAACATGATAAAAATACATAAAAACCAATAAAAAAATGCCCTAGACACACATAAATCTTAAGTGAAATGTATTAAAAATACCGTAAACTCACGGTATATCACCAGGCCAAGGGTTCTGTTGGGGCCAAAAATGGTTCTAAAGGGCTAGTCCCGCCCAGGGTGTAGGCTCAGGGAGTGACAAACTTGGTATCAGAGTAGTTCAAGAGTTCTAGGGAGTCTATGAAGCCCTGTCTGTAGAGTCCTAGTTATCGGTGTGAAGTGCGCCACATCTATAATTAGGAGGCTGCAACATTTAGGAACTATCTCACTTCTTTCATATTCATGTCGTGCGATAGAGCTAATCTCTATAAAGTTTCCTTCTAACTCGTGCTTGCGCTTGTTTTTCAATTGATCATGCCTCCACGAAGAGCTCTCATAGGTCGTCCTGCTAGGAGGAATGTCGAGGAACAAGGGGTACCTAATGCACCTGAAGTGCAACCCCAAGGAGAGGTCACCAATGCCGAGTTCAGGGAAGCGATCATAATGTTAAGTCAAGTGGTGACCAATCAAGTTGGTCAGAGAGAGAACCGACAGGAAGTGAATGATACTTAGAGGATTCGTGAGTTCTTGAGGATGAATCCTCCAAGCTTCACTGGTTCAAGCACTGTTGAGGATCCGGAAAATTTTGTTGAGGAACTGCAGAAGGTGTTTGAGGTTATGCACGTTGCCAATACTGAGCGAGTGAAACTAGCTGCATATCAACTAAAGAGTGTTGCCAGGACTTGGTTTGACCAGTGGAAGAAGGGTAGAGTTGAGGGTGCACCAATTTTGAGTTGGGCTATGTTTGAGAAGGCTTTCTTGGGGTGTTTCTTTCCCCGTGAATGGAGATAAGCCAAAGTATGGGAGTTCCTTACCCTTAAGAAGGATTCACTGAGTGTTCATGAGTACAATTTGAAGTTCACCCAACTTTCCCGATATGCTCCGGAGATGGTTGCGTATATGAGAAGAAGGATGAGTCTATTTGTTGCTGGGATGTCTCGTCTGTCAAGTAAGGAGGGCAAAACAACGATGCTAATAGGGGACATAGACATAGTGAGACTTATGGTTTATGTCCAGCAGGTTGAGGAAGAGAAGTTGAGGGATAGAGAAGAATTCAGTAACAAGAAAACTAAGACAGGGAATGATTCCGGGCAGCAAATGAGTAATGTGAACCTGTCATCTTTCCAACAAAAACAAAAAGGACCTGCTCCATCATCTACCAGTGCACCTGCACCAAGAAACAAAGGTGAGTACAATAGTCAGAATTCTCAGGGTTTTAGAGCTAGATCTGCATAGTCTCAAGGTAGTGTGGCACAATGAGGTAACTGGGCTCCTGCATGTGCTAAGTAGTGGTAGGAACCACCCAGGTAAGTGTCGCGATGGCTCCACTGGTTATTTCAAGTGTGGTCAAGAGGGTCACTTCATGAAAGAGTGCCCTAAGAACCGGCAAGGTAATGAGAATCAAGGCAATAGAGCCCAATCTTCATCAGTTGCTCCACCAGACAAAGCTGCATCTAGGGGAGCTACTCAGGTACTGGCGGAGGAGCAAACCACCTATATGCTATCACTAGTCGCCAAGAGCAAGAGAATTCTCTAGATGTTGTCACTAGTATGATTAAAGTCTTTACTCTTGATGTTTATGCTTTGCTAGACCCAAGAAGGAGTTTATCTATTGTGACTCCTTATGTTGCAATGAATTTTTATGTTCTTCCTGAGAAACTTTGTGAGCCCTTTTGTGTTTCTACACCTGTTGGGGAATCTATTCTAGTCGAGCGAGTCTATCATGATTGTACCATTTCCATCAATCACAAGAGCACCATGGCTGATTTAGTTGAGTTAAACATGGTTTTTTATGTTATTCTGGGTATGGACTGTCTTCATGCTTGTTATGCCTCCATTTATTGTAGAACTCGAGTTGTCAAGTTCCAATTTCCTAATGAGCCAGTTATAGAGTGCAGTAGCAGTTCAGCAGTGCCTAAAGGTCGTTTCATTTCGTGCCTTAAGGCGAGAAAGTTAGTTTCCAAGAGTTGTGTCTATCACTTAGTCCGAGTTAATGATTCTAGTGTTGAGACACCTCATATTGATTCAGTTCCAGTTGTGAGTGAGTTTCCAGAAGTTCTTCCTGATGATCTACCCAGAGTCCGAGAGAGAAATAGACTTCGGTATAGATATTCTTCTTGATACTCGTCCAATATCTATTCCGCCATATAAAATGACTCCAGCAGAGTTGAAAGAGCTAAAAGACCAGTTGAAAGATCTCCTTGATTAGGGTTTTATTCGACCAAGTGTCTCACCTTGGGGAACTTCGGTCTTATTTATGAGGAAGAAAGATGGTTCCCTTAGGATGTGTATAGATTACCGTCAGTTGAACAAGGTTACCATCAAGAATAAGTATCCACTTCCGAGAATTGATGATCTCTTCGATCAACTTCAGGGTGCCACTTGTTTTTTCCAAGATAGACCTCAGATCTGGCTACCATCAGTTAAAAGTAAGGGAATGTGATATTCCAAAGACAACATTGAGGACCCGTTATGGTCATTATGAGTTCCTAGTCATATTGTTCGGTTTAACTGATGTGCCTGCATCATTCATGGACCTTATGAACAGAGTATTCAAGCCTTATTTAGATATGTTTGTTATCGTGTTCATTGATGACATTCTAATCTATTCGAGGAATGAGTAAGATCATGCTAGCCATCTTAGAATAGTCCTCCAAACTCTAAAGGATAGAGAGTTGTATGCTAAGTTCTCTAAATGTGAGTTTTGGATTGAGTCTGTGGCATTATTAGGCCACATAATTTTCGGTGATGGGATTAGAGTTGACACTCAGAAAATAGAGTCAGTGCAGAATTGGCTTAGACCCACATCTCCAATTAAAATTAGGAGTTTCTTGGGGTTGGCTGACTATTATAGAAGGTTTGAGAGGGGTTCTCACCTATTTCGTCCCCTTTGACCATGTTGACTCAGAAAACAGTGAAGTTTCAATGGTCTGAAGCTTGTGAGAAAAACTTTCGGGAATTGAAAAAGAGGTTGACTACTGCCCAGTTATTGACCTTACCAGAAGGTACACAAGGCCTTGTGGTTTAGTGTGATGCATCCAGAGTTGGTTTGGGTTGTGTGTTAATGCAAAATGGCAAAGCTATAGCTTATGCCTCCAGACAACTGAAAGTTCACGAGAAAAATTACCCAACCCATGATCTAGAGTTGGCTGCCGTAGTATTTGCTTTGAAAATATTGTGTCATTATTTTTATGGTGTTCATGTGGATGTGTTCATCGATCACAAGAGTCTTCAGTATGTGTTTAGCTAGAAAAAGCTTAATCTGAGACAGCGAATGTGGTTAGAGTTACTCAAGGATTATGACATGAGTATTCTTTATCACCCAGG